AATTTTATTACTATTGTACATTTTGTCATACGTTGAGAATATAGATGTTGCTTCAAATACAATTTTCTAGTTAGACTCTTTGTCATGCATATTTGTTTCATTTTCAACCATAACACATCAATGGTCTTCTTAGTCAAAGCGTCCTGAAGATATATTATTAAAAAGATGAAGATGAATTTGTAATAGGGCATTCAAATCCTTATATTGTTTCTCTTCCAACATCCAAATTGTAAGCATCTTGTCAAATCTCAATAACACATAATCTGAATTCATCTAAGCATTATTTCGCATTTTTACCTGCTACAATGAAAACTTGTGTTGCAATTTAAAGTTGGAATATAATACTTCATGGTTGCTATCATAAAAGATCAAGCTGAATTCTTGATTTGATCGAGCCTCACTCTAATACCATTGGTTAGAAAATCAATGATAGCTCTGATATTGGTTTATTGTAATATGAAGATAAATATATGGCACAATACGAATTAAATGTTACAAACGCAAAAGAATAAAAGATTATTAGCGGAAAAAATGAGAATTCACTAAAATATAAGAAAAAATACAAAAAATTTATGTTTACAAATTTGCTCAACTTGTCTAAATTATATGGTGAATGTTTCAGACCTTAGAAATAGAGTCATAGATGAAAAAAATGCAAATAATGCGTCAAAAACGCAAAATGGGTTTTGGCCAAATGACACCATCACTTGAGCAGTGATGGAGCGACAAGCAAGGGCATACGGGCGCCAACTCACTGTTTTGCATGCTCGATGGGGAGGCAAGCAGGCAGCTAGAGAAAAAGCCCCAAAATTTTTTCGCTGGTCCTGTCTTGACCTCTTCAAATATAACACAAATTTCATACTTTCAGTTGAACTCTCACATGAAATTTCAACTAGAATTGCTAAATAAACTTAAAATGTGATCTTCAAATGGCATTCCAAATAAAATTTGGGTTGCATCCTAATTTTAACAATATTTTTCAAAGAATGTATAATTAAAAGGTATGGAAAAACTATGTGTTTACGTGCAAAATATTTGACCAAACCGACCTAGAATGGGATCGTCACATTCATGTCACAAACAAGATATTATAATATCTAAAAGTATCTTATTATTAATTACTTTAAAAATCAATCCTAATTACATTTTGAGATATCGTGAACACATTTTTCTTCTTTCAATTATCCAGATTCACTGTTCCGATTTACAAAACAATTTACCAGGTTGCAATTTTGATTTTCTTTATTATTTTAAACATGCAAATTTCGATTTTATCTTTAAAAAACTTCAACTTTTATTAAAGATCCATTTTACAAGATTTTTGAAAAGTGAAAAACTTATATTAAGATTAAGATTAAGAAGTTACTTTTTATCTTGTTCAGATATTTTTATGAAAATGCTTTTGTTCGGCTGGAAGAACTTTTAAATAAAACTTTTTTTAATAAAAGCAAAAATAAAAGTAAAATTTCTTGTCAAACGGACCTTAGCCCTGTTTGATGGCCATTAAGTTTTCGATGAAAAATGAGTTTTAGAATAATGATTTTTGAGAGAATGTGAAATTAAAAAGTATGAAAAAATTTTGAATTTGTGTAAAATATTTTATCGTAAAAATGTGTGGTTGAAAATAAATTTCATAAAAATAGAGATTTTAGAGAACGATAGACAAATAGTGACTTATTATATTTGGCCCTTGTTTGAGCTCCAATCTTGAATTAATACATTTTTTTCTTTCTTATTTTTAATTGCATATTTTTTAATAAAATAATATTACGTCCAAATTTAAAAAAAAAATTTCTTTTTTAATCACTCAGTAGACAAAAAAAAAAAAACTATTCCATCCATTGTCACTTTACAAGCTGTACTATTTACATATTACCCACTCATTTTCAAAGATTTTCTGTACTCTACAAAATCTACAGATTCTCTTGCTTCCAAAATTCCAAATATTGCTCAGAATACCCAAATTACCCCTGCACTCCCCACATATTACAGTTTTTGTTGTGGCGATTTTATTTTTCATTGAGCCCTCTTTGGTTGCAATTTTTCAACTGAAAAAAATTAATTTTTTGTCCTTTATTTCACTATTTTAGCCGTAATTTTTACTTCTTTACTCACAGATATGACCCACTTTTCTCTCTAACAATCAAAAAATCAATTTTAATAATCACTACCGAACTTGCCTTGAATAATATTATTTATCATATTTAGGGCTTGTTTGCAATAGATTTCATTTTTACTTTTACTTTTGCATTTAGTAAAAAAAAACTTTTGGAAGAAGTTATCTCATCTCTTTTGTTAAGACAAATTTTTAAATGAGTTTTCTATATTGGAAGTATTCTTAGAGGAAGCCATTAAACCAACTTCATTTAAAAATTCTTCTAATTAAAAGAAATATTTTCATAAAATTAGTCAAATGTATTTAAAAGTAGCTTTTGGATCACAAAATTTCATTTTGAATTTTCAAAAGCAATGACAAAGAAGCACTTAACTATAGCATTCACTCACCTAGGTTCAATGAATAATGAAAACTAATGTTGAGCATCCATGGACTATAATATTACATAGCATTAATGTTTGTCATTTCATCATAATGGAGCGGACAATCCATTTTGACCAATAATGGAGAAAATATTATCCTTTTTTTTATATTTGTAGGTAAATTTACTTATCATAAATTTATTATGAACTTTTAAGTAATTTTCATATAAAAAAATTTATTTACTTAATAAGCTAAATTTATGAATTTCAAATATGTTAAAGAATGCATCTTCATGACCAATAAGTTAGTGACTCTAAATTCACCTCACAAAATGTATTAATTTTATTCGGTTGACTGAAACCTTGTTTGAGCTCCATTATAATGAGGTTTTGGGGAAAAATATATTTTGAAATAGTAATTATTTTAAGAATGTACTGTCGAAAAAAAAGAAAAAGTTTTGAATTTAATGTAAATCAATTATTTATTGTACCAGAGATCGGACAAAACTAACTTAGTCCTTATCAAATCTAATCAATTTAATATGAATTGTTAATTTAATATGAATTGTTCATGACAGGAAAATCAATAATTTAACTTATATTTATAAATAATTTATATATGCTCAAGTCACTTTTTATTCATATATTTCGATCACTCCCAAATGCTATCCTTTTATCCGCATCTCATCTCTATCCATTTATAATTTAAATAGCATAAAACAGTTCCCACATGCTCCTGAACTCCCTTATAAAACGTATTAATTTTTCTGATTGAGAATAAGCAAATCAAGCCAATGTTTGGTCTCATTTTCTGGAATTGTGTTTTTTCCTCTTATTTTTTAACCACGCATTTTTAATAAAATAATATTACACATAAATCGAAAAATTTACTATATTTTTAATCATATAATCTCCAAAAAATCGTTATTCCGAAATTTTTTTTTTTCAAAATCTATTTTTAATGGAGCCTAGACATTGAGGATAGCTAATTGGATATTAATTGCACTAAAGGTCTAGTAAAAACCATATTAGTTTCATTGGCCCTATTTGCTTTTGATAAAAATATGTTTTTAATGGATTTTAATAAAAGTTAATTAAATGTATAGTGGAAAATTTGATAAAAATTGTGAGTATTATGAAACAAATTATGCTATTTGTACAAACTAGGTTGTCAAACTAAGTTTACAAACTATGTATTGACAACATCGAGGCTAATCGTTTCAAAAATAATTTTTGAAATCAATGACTTAGAGATCTTGCCAACACTTAACCCTGAGGGGTAGCTTAGTGTTAGGCATTGGATTTACTCTTTAATGATTACCTGTTCGAATTTCTTAAGAGTTACTGAGATGAGTACCTAATTGTAAATTTTAGGGCTCCATGAGATTAGTCGAGATACACGTAATCTACCCAATACTCAAGATCATTAAAAAAAAAAAAAAAAAAAAGATCTTGCCAACACTATTTGTAAACAAACTTTGTAGAAGTACCTTAATTTCGCATGAAAATATGTAGTGAAAAATGAATTTAAATAATTTTTTAAGAAATGAGACCAAGTAGTAGCTAAATTTTATTACAACGCTTCGTCTCTTTATTCAATCTAATACAGTGCGCTAAAGACAAATAATTTTCCAATACAATATGATGTAGAATAATTCAACAAATTACAAAAATATCAAGGCACGGCCCCACTCTGTGCAGTGATTGATAAAGGAGATAGCATCAAATCCAAACACAAAAGGAAACAATTTATTATTATTAGTCGTTGTATTTTTAAAATTTTGATGTAATTTGGTTGAGCTCTCATGTCAATTTAAAATATTCGTGCCACTCAAGTCAACACATTAATTCTAACCAAAATAAAATCACAGCAATATAATATTCAAGTTAATAAGATAAATATAATTAAAATTGACATAACATGATATGATAAAATTTATTTATTTATTTTTATATTGAATTTCAATATATTTTTATTGGACATACGCGATATTTATACGTAAATTTCGATTGCTATTGTTATGTTATAAAATAGAAAATAACTATAAAAAAGATATGATACTAAACTCGTTTGACCCCCATTTTCTGGGAACGAAAATGGGTGGAATAGTGTTTTTTTTAAAAAATGAGTGATTAGAAAAATAAAAAATTTTCGATTTACGTATACTATTATCTTATGAAAGATTGTGTGATTGAAAATAGAAATGAAAAAAATGAAATATGGTAGAATGAAAATTAATGATAGCAGGGTCTTATCCGCTTTCATGTGACTTCTAATCCGTCGAATCTTGTCGGGCATACACGAGGTTTATCTATTTATAAATCTTAATTGTTGTAGTAATTTTATAATAATAAATTAAGATTGAAAATCTTGAATTACTTATGGATAACAGAGTCATATTATTTCCTTAGTCCTACAAGAATTCCGTTATTTCAGGTACATATCAAGGGTATTTATGTCTTTACAATCCATCGCTGGGATCCATTTACTCCTTCGTTCTATGAAGGCGAAAAGATCACAAGCAAATCTGGTGCAGAAGAAGAAAACCCTAAAATTCTTCCAAAATTTCTCTATATACAAAATCTTCTTCTGACAAATTATTTTCCCCAGATTTCACTATCTTCAAATTAAATTTCCCAATAAGAACTCCAAAAATTCCAACCCAAATCTTTATAGAATTGAATTAGCTTCGAAATTCCTCAAAAATCTGCTTTTTTTTTTTTGGTTTGGTTTGGTTTGGTTTGGTTCAATTCATTTAGATTGACGATTCTTTTGTGTGTTTGTGCACAATACAAATCATAAACAGGAATTAGGTTTGACATTGTTATAATTATTATAATCGTAGTGAAAGCTTTGAAATTTGATTAATTGAGGTTGGAATTATGCCGGTTCCAACGATAGCTCTGTACGCTAGTCCACCGAGCAGCGTGTGCTCCGCGCCTTACGATTTTGATTTCAATGGTCGGTCAACGTCGTCAGCATCGGCTTCAGCGTCGCCTTCGCAGAAACCTGTCATCGGCGGGCTATCGGCCTTGCTTTCTTCGCCATCAGTGAAATCCTCGAGTTATTCAAGTGGATCCGAAGAATCAGGGTCGTTATGGCACGAAAGAAACGAAGAATTGGGGTCATCTTTTCGGTACTCGTCCTTCAAGCGAGATCAGGGCCATCAGAGCCCGGTTTCTGTGCTCCACCGCCCAAGTAGTTCGATTGGGTCGAGCTCCAGAAGTCCACCGGTGAGACCTATTGCTGGAGATTTGAGAATTTCAGGGGATATAAATTCAATACGGTCAGGGAGTGGAGGATTGTTCAATGGGTTTGTCAGGCACTCCATGGGTTCATTTGTCGAATATGATTCTTCACCGGGTTTGCAAGTGAATGGTTTCAATCCGTCCCCTTCATCGGCTGTGTTCGGTGATGAGCTTACGTTTAACATGGAAGATAATTTCTCGGAGTTGGAAATGCCCCATTATGCAAGAGACTTGCTTTCAGAAGCGCAATCTAGGCATTTAATTTTCCGGGATGATTTTGTCATCAAAGCTTTTGATGAAGCTGAAAAAGCCCATAGAGGCCAGGTACTTGCGATTAACTATCTGATATTTGGCTTTTCGCTAGGAAACTAATGTATTTATTAAAATTGGGATTTTTTGCTATGTTGATTTTATAGATGCGGGCAAGTGGGCATCCTTATTTGCAGCACTGTGTGGAGACCGCCGTTTTTCTGGCAACTATTGGGGCTAGTGCTACAGTTGTTGCCGCAGGGCTTTTGCATGACACTGTTGACGATTCTTCTGTGTCTTATGACTATATTTTCAAGAAGTTTGGAGCTGGGGTTTCTGAGTTGGTAGAAGGGGTAAGATAAATTGATTCGATCGGTTTTTATGCTCTTTTTCAGATTGGTTTTGGTATGTAATATATCTCACTCAAGTTCAATGAAATTCCCTACAAGCTAATGATACGAGGATATGTTCTTTAAATCTTTATGATCTTTAATCATATTGTTTACATTATTTATTACCTACCTATGTATAGTTGATTAGATGTTAATGATTTGTTTGCCATTGTAAACTCAAGATGTTAAACACCATTTCTGTTTTGGAGGGGCCAGGGAAGGGGGTATTGTGATTCTTGCTGTATTTACTGATAGGCGGCTGGGTTTTCATACAGTCAATGAAAGGGATGCCGTCATGAAAATGACACATTGATGAAGAGTTGTTCATAATGACAGAAATCTCAATGTTGATAGGGTTCTTGACTGTAACTTAGGATTTTAAAACATTATGTGATTATATGAGAGGTCCTGGCTTGTCACTAAGTCTTTAGGGATTTGTTCAATTTCTGTGGAGTACTTTTCATCGCAACTCTAATTGATAAGCTGATTGGCATAAATGTAGAATGATTTATTGAGTTTCTTCCAGGTGTCTAAATTGAGCCATTTGAGCAAGCTTGCACGCGAGAATAACACAGCCAGTAGAACTGTTGAGGCAGACCGATTACATACCATGTTCCTTGCAATGGCAGATGCTAGGGCTGTTCTCATCAAACTGGCGGATCGATTGCACAACATGATGACTTTGGATGCACTACCTATAATCAAGCAACAGAGATTTGCAAAGGAAACGTTGGAAATTTTTGCTCCATTAGCTAACCGATTAGGGATCTCTACTTGGAAAGAGCAACTTGAAAATCTCTGTTTTAGGTATCTCAATCCAGATCAGCACCAAGAATTGTCATCCAAACTTGTGAAGTCCTTTGATGAGGCTAAGATTTCTTGTGCTGTAGATAAACTAGAGCAGGCTCTGAAGGATGGCGCCATTTCTTATCACTGTTTGTCTGGACGCCATAAGAGCTTGTATAGCATCTATTCTAAGATGTTGAAGTATGCTCTCTCTCTCTCTCTCTCTCACACACACACACACACACACACACACACATGCATATACACAGTTGTACACCCACACAGAGTGAGCTGATTCACATACAAAAAGAAACAATTTAATATCTTCTCATGTAATTTTTTGACCTTCAATTGTTTTATTTGCTATTTTTTTCTAGTATGTTAAAAAACACGTATCTGATTGTAACGACTTTGGGGTTGTATATTTGTATGGATAACTTAATAGTGGCCTCAATTCCCGTAATAGTTGGATTGAACCCTGATAAAGTATGGATATTGTCATGCAGTAAAAATATTTCTGGCATAATATGATGTTTCACTGTATTTTTGTTGCCCTGGGAGTCTTCAATGTATAATTTCTAACATATTATCAAGTTAATTACATTGCTTTCCTGTTCCCCCAAAAAAAAAATAAAAAAAATCATGCTAATCTACCTCTTGCGGTGGTGTAATTTTATCTTCTGCAGAAAGAAGCTGAATATGGATGAAATTCATGATATCCATGGTTTGAGATTGATTGTCGAAACTGAGGATGATTGTTATAAGGCTTTGAGAATTGTTCACAAGCTATGGGGTGAAATACCTGGGAGGTTCAAGGATTACATAGTTTATCCCAAGTTTAATGGGTATGCTATTTCTAAAAGTTTTAATGTCTTATTCTACATATCATTTGTTATTATACTTAATTCAAACTCTAAAATTTCAGGTACCGATCTCTTCATACAGTAGTGATAGGTGAGGGTATGGTTCCACTTGAAGTTCAAATTCGAACAAAAGAGATGCATTTGCAAGCTGAGTATGGATTTGCTGCTCATTGGAGATACAAGGAAGGTGATTGTGAACATTCCTCTTTTGTGCTTCAGATGGTTGAATGGGCGCGTTGGGTTGTCACCTGGCAGTGTGAGGCTATGAGCAAAGACAGGTCATCCATTAGCTTTGTTGACTCCATGAAGCTGCCTTGCACATTCCCTTCTCATTCTGTGGATTGCCCATTTTCTTGCAAACCACATTGTGGCTCAGATGGACCTGTCTTTGTTATCATGATTGAGAATGATAAGGTTCGTTCTTCAGAAATTTTGCCCCCATTTGGATAAATTATAAATGATATATATATGTGTTGCATGGACACTTTTAAGTAGGATGGCCCGTGTTCGACACGTCTCGAATATCGACGCTACTCGGACACTGTCATGGTCATATTTAAAATATTTTAACAAGATATAAATGAAGAATTTTAAATATTTTAATCAGCGCGTCGACGTAAATGATGTTTGACCCAGGGTTTTTAGCGTTCAAGGGGTCACATTCTTATCCCACCTTCCCATTAGTATTGTTTGGAACTTGAGTGTATCATACTTATACGTACAGAATCTTTCTCGAGTTCCAGGGAATTTGTGTTCTTTGTGAATTAGTTTTTTTAAATTCAGTCATTTGTCCAATGGATTTGTCATGCTCGATATGACTACTGATCTGGTGTTTGGATTTTGCAGATGTCCGTGCAGGAGCTCCCAGCAAATTCATCTGTTACGGATCTGTTGGAAAGAACAGGTCGAGGCAGTTATAGATGGACTCCCTATGGATTTCCTCTGAAGGAAGAGTTGAGGCCGCGGCTGAACCATGAACCAGTTAGTGATCCCACCTGCAAGCTAAAAATGGGTGATGTGGTGGAATTAACTCCGGCCATCCCAGACAAGTCACTGACAGAATACCGGGAGGAGATTCAACGTATGTATGATAGGGGCCTTAACATATCAAGCGCAGTGCCTGCTGCCAACACCATGGCTAGGTTAAGTAGTTGACCCCTTTGGCTCCCCTGATTGTATTATGCGATTGATACAAAATCACGACTAGTTATTCTGTAGATAAACGATAACGATCTGTAAAGAACACCTTATTGTTTGTTTATGAAGGTAAACGATCTTCTGAAACTGGCTATTATCTTTAACAAATTTAGCAATTGCAATTAAGCTGAAGCTCTTAGTGAATGTTAAATCACGAACAATTCCCAGCCTCTCTTCTTTAGTGAATGAAGTGCAAGGCGTTGATTCCTACCAATTTTATACGTATAAAATAAGCTAAATAATCTCTCTACTTAATAGGGGATTTGGCTTGCGAACTTCCAATAACTCGACAATTGACGTGAAATATTTGACAGGAACACCAATTGAAACCAAAAGCCACATTTTAAATTTGTAATATCATTAGCCACGGGGAAAATGAACAGGTCTAATCCTACCATATAGTAGGAGACAAATGAACAAGGTCTGTATAGAAGACGACCATAAGTAATCCGTTCAGGAAGCACGTCGAAACTACGTTGTTTTGACGTTGAAGCAATACTGCCATCGTACAATTCACACACGCATATACACAGTTGTACACCCACACAGAGTGAGCTGATTCACATACAAAAAGAAACAATTTAATATCTTCTCATGTAATTTTTTGACCTTCAATTGTTTTATTTGCTATTTTTTTCGAGTCTGTTAAAAAACACGTATCTGATTGTAACGACTTTGGGGTTGTATATTTGTATGGATAACTTAATAGTGGCCTCAATTCCCGTAATAGTTGGATTGAACCCTGATAAAGTATGGATATTGTCATGCAGTAAAAATATTTCTGGCATAATATGATGTTTCACTGTATTTTTGTTGCCCTGGGAGTCTTCAATGTATAATTTCTAACATATTATCAAGTTAATTACATTGCTTTCCTGTTCCCCCAAAAAAAAAATAAAAAAAATCATGCTAATCTACCTCTTGCGGTGGTGTAATTTTATCTTCTGCAGAAAGAAGCTGAATATGGATGAAATTCATGATATCCATGGTTTGAGATTGATTGTCGAAACTGAGGATGATTGTTATAAGGCTTTGAGAATTGTTCACAAGCTATGGGGTGAAATACCTGGGAGGTTCAAGGATTACATAGTTTATCCCAAGTTTAATGGGTATGCTATTTCTAAAAGTTTTAATGTCTTATTCTACATATCATTTGTTATTATACTTAATTCAAACTCTAAAATTTCAGGTACCGATCTCTTCATACAGTAGTGATAGGTGAGGGTATGGTTCCACTTGAAGTTCAAATTCGAACAAAAGAGATGCATTTGCAAGCTGAGTATGGATTTGCTGCTCATTGGAGATACAAGGAAGGTGATTGTGAACATTCCTCTTTTGTGCTTCAGATGGTTGAATGGGCGCGTTGGGTTGTCACCTGGCAGTGTGAGGCTATGAGCAAAGACAGGTCATCCATTAGCTTTGTTGACTCCATGAAGCTGCCTTGCACATTCCCTTCTCATTCTGTGGATTGCCCATTTTCTTGCAAACCACATTGTGGCTCAGATGGACCTGTCTTTGTTATCATGATTGAGAATGATAAGGTTCGTTCTTCAGAAATTTTGCCCCCATTTGGATAAATTATAAATGATATATATATGTGTTGCATGGACACTTTTAAGTAGGATGGCCCGTGTTCGACACGTCTCGAATATCGACGCTACTCGGACACTGTCATGGTCATATTTAAAATATTTTAACAAGATATAAATGAAGAATTTTAAATATTTTAATCAGCGCGTCGACGTAAATGATGTTTGACCCAGGGTTTTTAGCGTTCAAGGGGTCACATTCTTATCCCACCTTCCCATTAGTATTGTTTGGAACTTGAGTGTATCATACTTATACGTACAGAATCTTTCTCGAGTTCCAGGGAATTTGTGTTCTTTGTGAATTAGTTTTTTTAAATTCAGTCATTTGTCCAATGGATTTGTCATGCTCGATATGACTACTGATCTGGTGTTTGGATTTTGCAGATGTCCGTGCAGGAGCTCCCAGCAAATTCATCTGTTACGGATCTGTTGGAAAGAACAGGTCGAGGCAGTTATAGATGGACTCCCTATGGATTTCCTCTGAAGGAAGAGTTGAGGCCGCGGCTGAACCATGAACCAGTTAGTGATCCCACCTGCAAGCTAAAAATGGGTGATGTGGTGGAATTAACTCCGGCCATCCCAGACAAGTCACTGACAGAATACCGGGAGGAGATTCAACGTATGTATGATAGGGGCCTTAACATATCAAGCGCAGTGCCTGCTGCCAACACCATGGCTAGGTTAAGTAGTTGACCCCTTTGGCTCCCCTGATTGTATTATGCGATTGATACAAAATCACGACTAGTTATTCTGTAGATAAACGATAACGATCTGTAAAGAACACCTTATTGTTTGTTTATGAAGGTAAACGATCTTCTGAAACTGGCTATTATCTTTAACAAATTTAGCAATTGCAATTAAGCTGAAGCTCTTAGTGAATGTTAAATCACGAACAATTCCCAGCCTCTCTTCTTTAGTGAATGAAGTGCAAGGCGTTGATTCCTACCAATTTTATACGTATAAAATAAGCTAAATAATCTCTCTACTTAATAGGGGATTTGGCTTGCGAACTTCCAATAACTCGACAATTGACGTGAAATATTTGACAGGAACACCAATTGAAACCAAAAGCCACATTTTAAATTTGTAATATCATTAGCCACGGGGAAAATGAACAGGTCTAATCCTACCATATAGTAGGAGACAAATGAACAAGGTCTGTATAGAAGACGACCATAAGTAATCCGTTCAGGAAGCACGTCGAAACTACGTTGTTTTGACGTTGAAGCAATACTGCCATCGTACAATTCCTGAAGCCCAACCACGAACATACAGAGGAGATTATGTCCTCTACTACTAACTACTTAATGCTGTCTCTAACCTCCATTGTACAAGCTGATTTTTGTGAACGCACAGACGCAACGGGAGAAAGAGAAGCTCTTAGACATCGTTAATAGCAAGGTAGCTCAATTTCAAAAAATAACATTGTATCGAGTGTAAAAATACATTTTAAGCCACAACCGGAGGAATGCATACATGAAAGTACTTCTGGTAGGGACATCATTGCCGAGATCTCATTCTAGTTACATGATGTACAAAAACAAACTTATCTTGGACGTTTAGCTCCAAGCGGAAAAGATACTTTCTGAGGGGTGCCTTGGGGCAAATCTCTGTGGTCTTGGGAAACATTGGGATTGGGAGCAGGATCAACACCTTCGTCGTCATCCTCTGTTTCTTCAATTGACTGGCTTTGCTTCTTTGGAATAGCAAGTTGGTAATTTGGACTGATCAAGGTGTCCTGTTCTGGAGGAAGAGGAATTCCAGGCCCTGCTATTGATGTTGGCAATGGGATCTTATTTCTATTCCTTGCCAACTCCAGTAGCACCTGATGAGTAGTGGATTTGAAAATTTTATTGATCATTCATCAATTGAAATCATGCTTTCATGCATTTAAATATGAAAACAGATGTATGTCTGATTGAGTCGACACTTTCCCAAAAATAGCATGATAAAAAATGATAAAATCATAGTACCGAAGCATTTAAAATTTCTCTCTCTCTCTCTCTTCATAGGAGTAAAAAATCAAATGATGTCGAAAGGTGTTTGATCCTGGAAAGGAGTGCAAAGACAAAATACATTCCTTCAAACTTGTATAGAATGTGATCCTAGTGATGAGATATATATGATGGATTTCCTAATCAAATCTGTACAATCTAGACTTGACAATTATTCTTCCAAATATTGTTACATTTTTAAACCTAACATGTTATTCAAATGGTACATGCAGTTGTTATAAAATAGACAACGTCACATCGTACAAAATCCAGAATAAAGAGAAGATTTTACACATCATGGAAAAGGTATAGTAGGATTACCTCCCGAGGTGGAGGTTGCGAGAAACTAAAATTGACTTTTGACTGAATTGCGAGCTTAATATCATCAGAGTCAATTGTAGACTTGCCAGCGTGTTCAGAGTAGACCCGTGCATCTGTCACAATGTCAACAACGTATCGGTACCACAGTTCTAAAAACTGATGCACAACACGAGGCTCGTAGTCATCAACATTCATGGATTTAAGAAGAGTCTTTACAACTTTCGCATCCCTTGGTATGTCCTCATCTCCTCCCTCTGCCATCTCCTACACACTCGATCCCTACTGAAACAAATTTCCCAACAAAATTTCTCTTTTAGATGAAAAGTTATGTCATATGTGAGAATTTACAACAGCAGAAAGACTGGATTCTTATCAAGCAACATGATCCATGAATGCAATGTCTGTCACCAAAGAGAGAGAGAAATTAATATAGGGGAAACACAAGCAGCACTGAATACTCTTTTTTAACCAACATAATCATCCAGAGAAATGGAGATACTAAATATCAAAATTGTTTTAACAAGCGTACCTCGAAAGATTATAAGCCAGCAAACTTAACTGTTAGATCTAACAACAGAAGAACCATTCCCTCAGTGTTTGAACAAGTGCTTACATTTTGGATATTTAGGTAACTAGCGAGTACAATATTAAAAAAAAAAAAATGAAAAAAATGAAAGCAAAAGAGAGCTAATCAGAAAGCATGAAAAAACATGAAGAAAATTGAAAATTCCATCGACACAACAGATTCTGGAAACTCATGATCTATTTTTAGAAGGAAAATTCACCAGTACTCTCTCATCATCACTCACTGTCCCGGAGAAGAAGAGCTATTCTGAGTAAAGGTGGGCGTAAACTAGTTCAGTCGGGTTAGGTTCCCTAGAGAACAGGACCAAATCGGTTCCAGTTGGGAATCTTACACTTGAAGAAAATAAGATAAGCTATATCCAAACCAAGAAAAAGAAAAAAGAATTCTAAAACAAAATTTCATGCATTAAAAGATCAAAGATCAACAAGCATCCAAAAAAATGTATAAAATTATAAAGATCACCAAGATTAAACATCAAATCATAGCTCCACATAACTTCTTTAGTTCTAACAAATCAATGATCAAAATAGCAAATCTTGGCCACACTGTATATAGTATTGTCGAGTTACCAGCGGAATTGAGATTCTAAATTTCATTTTTTGTGAATAAATTTTCCCTATCTAAATTTCATTGTTTTAAAACTTTTTTATTTCAAATTTAAAGTTGTATCCTAATCCCTAAACCAATTCTGACTTTCAAGTATGCAAAAAGATCCAAATTGAAAAATTCATATTTATTACCTAGTAAACCAAAAAAAGAAAAGATCATCAAAACCGAAATCTGGAGGCAGCAATTTTTTTTCAAAAAAGCACTCATTATTCACACTTAATCACTTACTAAAGTTGCAGCATCAATAAAAAAAATGGAGACAGCAAAATAGAAAACGATTTATCTCGAATGCTCGGATAGAGCCTGGAGGCAGAGCCGCAGGAAGATATCGGAGACTGCGACTTCGAAGAGGCAAACGTGTTTTGGTTTCGTCTGCAAAATTAGTGGGAGGGGAGTGACCGAGACTGAAAGTTGGCTATTTGGGATTAATTTGAGGTTTTAAGAATGGGCCAATTTCATTGGGCCTAGGTAGGTGGGTTGGTCTAGATTTATTTTTAAGTGGGCCTTGTTAAGCCCAGAGGAGCCCATCTTCTCATTCTCATTTTGTCTCTGAATTTTTTTAGGAAAAATCTTACTACTTAGCTAGGTAGACCAAGTCCTATCTATGCAAGTAAATTTATATAGTTAAAGAATAAAACAAATCTTCATTTAAAACGTCGGTGGCCATCAAAAGAAAAGTCAAATATATATTAAATAAAAAAAAATCTAAACTAGTAAATTGGGACGTCGATATATAGTTCTAGTGCTCCACCCTCTCAAGGTGGAGCATGTTGGTAATGCCCATCTTGCATACAAGATGTTGGAAGGCAATCTTTTCCAATGTTTTAGTGTGTGTATATATACACACACAATCACTTATTTTTTTTTTTTAATAAAAGAATATTACACACAAACCCAAAATTCTTTTTACTTTTCAATAACACTTTTTTCAAAAATTCACTATTTTAAAATATATTTTTACCAAATAATGGGTTTCAAACAAAGGCTAAAATTATAAGCAATTTGCTTAGAATATGCTTTGTACGATCATAAAAAATAGGATTTTTAGCAATATGCATGCTGGCTAGGTTGTTGTAATAGAGAGTTGTTAGAATTCAAAGCATGCTTAAACATGAATTTCAAGATCTTTTTGAATGGTTAAAACATCTTGCTTTTTCATACTCCAAAATATGCATTTTTTTGCTCTCCATTGGTCTCAATTCTGATTACATAAAACGAGATTATTATCAACAATCTAGGTGCCAATTTTTGTTAGTTTTAACGTCATATATATGGTTCTAGGCATTTATCATTTTATGTGTATTTTTCTATACGAATTTCACACATTTTATTGCCATATTTTCTCTCTTATTATTCAATTCTATGTGATGGGAGTTATTTTACGATTATGGAAGTAGATGGGAGTTGAGGGAAATTATGAGTTTGAATTCTATTCAAACGACTTCCTCCAATTCACTACAATAACTTGTGCGTCGAGTAACTCCACATGAGTGATCCACGACCTGTATTTTTCAACATGTTCCACTTGTACATGATGGACTTGACTCAAACCACAAGTGACATAATGTCACACATTATATCCTTCTCAAGATCTATATCATAAAAATTCATACGACAAATAGATCGTACGACCAACGAGTAATATTAGAGCTCACGGTACTATAAACCTATTAGGGTTATATTGTAACTCTACTGGAGAAATATTACATCTCACTATATCCCAAACTCATTTTTCAATATTAATGCAAGTATTTCTGATCTCTCAAATATTTATGTAACATACTTGAACCCTACATCGTATCATTGTATTCATAATTATGTAAACCCTAGATGGTTAAAAACAATTGATTGACCAGTGAATACAAATATAAAGATTTATATGGTCGCCTTCCGATATATGAGAGTATCAAGAGGGTAGCAATTTCATAGTTAAAAATATTCTAAAGTCTTTATAGTATAAAACTTTTGTGAGTAAGAAGATTAGAATAATTTTTTAATGCAAAATATTCAATTTGCTAAACCTATGTGACATTATCATTCGTCTCAAATACTGAGGATAATCGTTTTAAAATGGTCTCAATGCACTCTTCCTCATGCCAAGCCAATACAATGTCATCAACATAACATTAGACCTTTACATAAATATAGCGATCTTCATCCACATGACGATTTTTTATGAGATTTAAACCCTATTAAAACTCAAGTACTACTGTCAAGATAACTGTATTAGGCCATGAGTGTAATTATAAAAATACCACAATACTAAAAGGCCTTTAACATGAATCTATAAATCGATTCATTTGAATTTCTTAAATTAATTTTCAATTGAGAATAAAATACAGTCTTTAGGTAACTCTAAAATTTAAACATACTATCATGACCAGCAATGGTATACAAAGAAAATCGCACTTGTAAGAAAAAAAATTATTTAACTCNCCTCCGCCCCAAAAAAAAGAAAAAAAGAAAAAGAGAAAAAGAGCTACACCTATCATAAACTCATTAGTCTTTCACTTGGTTTTCAAGATCATGAATGCTCTCAATAAATATAATGTCCAATTAGAACTTTCACTCCACATACACTTTCATCACTTTTCTCAATATTTCTCCACTGGATTCTGAACTAAGAATCATTAAATTTAGATAGCTCCCACTCGAAAACAAATTAATAGCTCCCATTCAAAACTAGTAATTATTGAAATTAGATAGTTCTTAGATAGCTTCCACTTCCACTTCCATAATCTAATTTTCTACTCCATTTTCAAAAAATCTAAATCTATACAATATCTTCAAATTATGAAAATCAGAGGCACAACTAAAATGCCGAATCTATCTATAAATGTAATGAATATAAAGTTCTATTTCCATCTCTTTTAATCACAACCTGCAAAAAAATTCAGATGAATTTACTATATGAAAGTTTAGCTCTTACAGTTTTGAATGATTTTTTCAACTCAAAAACCTAAAATTATTGCTCAAACATCCAAAACCATAATAAACATCACCAATGTGAGTACTAACAGAGCTACCATGTAAAAGATCAAGAAAGATACCATTCTTAGAAGAAAAAGTAAGATCAAATTTAGTGGAGTTCTTGATACTATTTTAATATCAACTAGAAGGTCAACTTCTCCATTTTGTTAAGTACATTGCATGTATTAGTCATATAAATCTCCACTACGTGTTATTATTTGTATAAATATCTATTTAGGTACCAAGTAAAGACTTGACAATAGACTAAAGACACTTGATGATCTCATATAAAGTGGGTTTCTAATTATTTAATCCACTATTTACACAAGACAAAATCCAATATGTATAGTGTTGACACGTAAACAACACTAAGAGAAACATATTCAAATGTAATATTCTTTAGCTTAACTACTTTCGAGCTAAAAGATTTAAAATGTATGGTTGAAACGCTTGAACCTTTATAATATTGGTCATCTACCAAAATCACTTTCATATACTTCTACTTGATGTGTTCTTTTTGGTCCTTTTTCCAGTCTCCTCATCTATTCCGCATTTATTTTAACTCATTTAGAACTCAAGATTTGAAATCTTATGCAAACTAGAACATTTCTACACGAGTATATGCTTGAGACTTAGAAACATCAAGTCGTACATCTTTTAACTTACATAGTAGATAGTGTCAATAGAGAAAATTGACACTTCAATTTGTAAGTCACAATGAGCTTTAAAGTTCCCTTATATTGATAAGAGACTAGTTTGAACTTACTACTCAACTACAAAAAATGTAACCAACAAAAATGTCAACAATGTATTAACCATTACAACTAAGTCACATTCGAGAAAAAAATCATTTATAACAGAATTTGACAATTCAAATGTTCAAGTAGTAGAATCTATCTTTTCCCGTACTCGACAAAGTTTTGATCTTTATTCTCTAGAGTAGTATGACCTACATAAGATCTTTTATTGCGTGATTGATGCTCTCTAAAGTATTAAATTCTTCTAGTACACTAAAAATCTTATTATGCCAAATATTATCGCATCTAACTTATTACATTTTTTGTGGTCAACAATTATAAATTTTGATGCCATGATCGATATGATTTTAGAGATATTTTATTCTTAATCAATGCACATTTATGCATATATATCATTTTGCATGAATGCAAATTAATGTATACATTGTTCAATGTTAGGCATAGAGTTGAAAGTTCACAATGTTCCCAATTATCATCCGCAATCCTCTTGTTTCACAAGCATAAATTTAATTTCATAACACAATATTCCATGGACTCTAAGCAAGAATTACATTAATTCTTCTAGTTTGAGAATTCCCATTCAATTGGTGAATTAAACAGTTTTAGTTGATATTTTCTCTAAATCTTTTAATCACCGAACTATCACTCAACTAACATCAATAGGTTTAAGTAAGAATCTCACTAATTCTACTGACCTTAGTATTTATAACAATTGACGAATTAATATATATCATGTAATTCAATAACATAATTCCATAATGTGCAAAAAAATATAAATATGCACGTTTATCCAATTATGACACATATCATGATATCAAAAATTATTTTTTCTAGAAAATAATTCCAATTATAATCAAAAAATAAAACCCACGTCATTTAAATTTTATTATACAGATTCTCAACCTCATTTTAATATCTCTTGCAACACAATCCCAATAAATGGGAAGTATTATCTGAATTCTCATATTTTGCTCATCACAAAGAATGTCTAAAAATATTCGTGTATTTCATTAGGTTATGTCCCAAATCCATTTATTAATTTTAATAAGAATGCAACTTTTCAACAAGTTTCATAGCCATTGCTTTTCTAGCATTCTCTCTAAATATGTTGTAAGTATGCATATATCCAGCCATGTCCGGTCAAACGCAAAAATTAAAAACAAGTCACAATGGATCACATAACTTAATTAAAGGCCTAGATAACTCATGAAACTATATAAAACATGCTATTTTAAATGTTTTCGGAATATTTTTCATTTCCAAAAAAATAAAACGAAAGCACTTCAAAAAATAACTCCCACTAGCCAAATACCACTTAATAAATATTCTTGATTTTATTAAAAAAAATTCAAATTTAATGAAGTTAAAATATATATTTTTTAATTTTTTTACATGTTTATTTTAAGCATTAAATATAAAAACTTTTTAACTATCAAAAAATTAATTTAATTATATTGAAAAATTAAGAATAATTCTAGGAGTAGTTTGTAATTTTCAGAATTGAAATTGGGTTCCTCACGTGCCCTCAAGCGCAGGATCAATCAGAAATTATTTTTTAAAATTAATAAAAAATGGGGGGCATTTTAGCACCATCACATCGTCCTTGAAATTTTTTTTCCAGTTGGTCGTTTTTCAATAAAATCTCACAAGCATACGAAATCGTTGATAA